TCTGTGACCTGATATGTCCCAGAAGACCTCCAATTGAGCTCACTGATGACCCCAAGTTGACCTCTGTGACCTGACGTGTCCCATATGACCTCTGCGACCTCTAAGTGACCTCTCTGATGACCCCAAGTTGGCCTCTGTGACCTGACATGTCCCATATGACCTCTGTGACCTCTAAGTGACCTCTCTCATGACCCCAAGCTGACCTGTGTGACCTGACGTGTCCCAGATGACCTCCGTGACCTCCTATTGAGCTCTGATGACTCCAAGCTGACCTCTGTGACCTGATATGTCCCAGATGACCTCCAATTGAGCTCTTTGATGATCCTAAGCTGACCTCTGTGACCTGACGTGTCCCAAATGACCCTCAGTTGAGCTCTGTGATGACCCCAAGTTGACCTCTGTGACTTGTCGTGTCCCATATGACCTCTGTGACATCAAGTGACCTCTCTGATGACTCCAAGCTGATCTCTGTGACCTGACATGTCCCAGATGACCTCCAATTGAGCTCTCTGATAACCCCAAGCTGACCTCTGTGACCTGATATGTCCCAGATGACCTCCAATTGAGCTCACTGATGACTCCAAGCTGACCTCTGTGACCTGACGTGTCCCATTTGACCTCTGCGACCTCTAAGTGACCTCTCTGATGACCTCAAGTTGACCTCTGTGATTTGACGTGTCCCATATGACCTCTGTGACCTCAAGTGACCTCGCTGATGACTCCAAGCTGATCTGTGACCTGACGTGTCCCAAATGACCCTCAGTTGAGCTCTGTGATGACCCCAAGTTGACCTCTGTGACTTGACGTGTCCCATATGACCTCTGTGACATCAAGTGACCTCTCCGATGACTCCAAGCTGATCTCTGTGACCTGACATGTCCCAGATGACCTCCAATTGAGCTCTCTGATAACCCCAAGCTGACCTCTGTGACCTGACATGTCCCATATGACCTCTGTGACCTCTAAGTGACCTCTCTCATGACCCCAAGTTGACCCGTGTGACCTGACGTGTCCCAGATGACCTCCGTGACCTCCAATTGAGCTCTGTGATGACCCAAGTTGACCTCTGCGACTTTACGTGTCCCAGATGACTTCTGTAACCTCCAATTGAGCTCTTTGATGATCCCAAGCTGAGCTCTGTGACCTGACGTGTCCCAGAAGACCCCCAATTGAGCTCTGTGATGACCATAAATTGACCTCTGTGACCTGACGTGCCCCCAACTTGCCCTTTGTGACCGACATGTCTCAGATTGCCTCCGTGGTCTCCAATTCAGCTCTATGATGACCCCAACTTGACATCTGTGACCTGACGTGTCCCATATGACCTCTGTAACCTCTACGTGACCTTTCTGATCACTCCCAAGCTAACCTCTTTGAGCTGACGTGTCCCAGATGACCCCCATGATCTCTAACAGAGCTCTGTGATGACCCCAAGTTGACCTCTGTTACCTGACGTGTCCCTGATGACCTCCGTGACCTTTATTTGAGCTCTGATGACACCAAGCTGACCTCTGTGGCCTGACATGTCCCAGATGAACTCCAATTGAGCTCTCTGCTACCCCCAAGTTGACCTCTGTGACCTGACGTGTCCCAGATGACCCTCAATTGAGCTCTGTGATGACCCTAAGTTGACCTCTGTGACCTGACGTGCCCCAAAGTTGCCCTTTGTGACCGACGTGTCTCAGATTGCCTCCGTGGTCTCCAATTGAGTTCTGTGATGACCCCAAGTTGACCTCTGTGACTTGGCGTGTCCCATATGACCTCTGTGACCTCTATGTGACCTCTCTGATGACTCCAAGTTGACCTCTGTGACCTGACGTGTCCCAGATGACCCCCATGTCTCTCTCTCTCTCTCTCTCTCTCTCTCTCTCTCTCTCTCTCTCTCTCTCTCTCTCTCTCTCTCTCTCTCTCTCTCTCTCTCTCTCTTTCTCTCTCTTTCTCTTCACGTGCCGGTGTCGCGGATCCTATAGGCAAATTTTGTACATACCAGTGTTGATCCCCAGTCTCTGACCGGACATGTATTTTTCCTTGCCGCAGGATGCCGGCGGCGGCGACGACAGTGCGCCGGCGCACATCTCTATGGAGGTGGACACGGCGACCCTTGGGCGACCGCCGCTGCCGCGGTTTGCTACAGGTGGCCATGGCCACTAATCTGTCACGAACTTCTGACAGTGAACGCCAGTCGGTTCTCGGATGTGAGGACGCGCCCGTCGAATCAAGTGACGGAGATGCACCGTGTGACAGTGTGCGTTTTCCGGGCGAGTTCGTTGCGCTGTGTGCCGGTCGTGCGCGGGACTGGTACCACCCGTCGTTCCACCAGTTCTCAGTGCTGCAGCGCGCCGTGCGCGATCTCAGTGCCGCCGTCGAGGAGACTGTGCGCCGCGAGCTGCCGCCCGAGGACCGGCCGGCGCTGACCCGGCTGTAGCCGCTGGCTGACGGCGCGCTGTCGCTGCGTCCGCCGACCCTGCACCGGCCGCGCCGGGAGGCCGAGCTGCTGACCCAGCTGCAGCAGCTGGCGGTGGCCCTGGACGGCGCCTGCCCCCTGATGGCGGGTGGCAGCTGCGGGAGCCACGTGACGCCGTCTGCGCTCTCGGCAGCGCGCCACCTGGAGCCGCATGCAGACCGCGTTGCCAGAGCTGCGTCGTCTGACGTCGGGTCTGCTGCGACTGGTGACGCGCCAGAGGACGCGCTGGTCACCGCCGCGAGCCCGGATCGAGACGGACACGGAGACAGTTCCGAACGGAGCCTCCCTCACCAGGTGGGTCCTGCGGCGCCAATACTCGTCCGTAGGTGGGGCGAGATGGATAGGTATCTGAGCACTTGGGAGGGCAGTTGTCGGGTGATGACCCACGAGGTCAAGCAAAGTAAGGGGAAGTAACATGAGTACCTATGCAAGTGAAACCGCTTGATTGCGATGACCTCATGTGACCTCACCTAACTTTCGTGTGACCTCCCCGACCGTAGGACAATGCGTGATCTTGTTTTTTTTTTTTTTTTTTGCTCGGTTTTATTGAATGTTTTCACATGTGTAGACATCATACACTACAGTCCGGGATCTGTGCAAAAGCTTTTCAGCTTATTTGCTTATTTCATGGCACCTCTCCCTCACACACTCACGACGTCACACGTCATTCACGACGAGAAAAAAAAAACTTGTTTGACTTTGTGGGGCGTCGCCAGACTTATTATAGCTCATCTGACCTCTACTGATTCTTTGTGATCTCATATGACCTCTAGAGACTTCGCATGACCACGTGAGCTTTCCTCAACCTCCTTTTACCTCGCTGAACTTTGAGTGGCTTCTCCCACCCTCGCCTGACTTCCTGTGACCTCGTAGGACCCGTCGTCTTCGTGTGACTACTTGTGACATTCGTTTGTTTTCCTGTGACCTATACCGACTTTTGTGACCTCGCCTAGCTGTAACCTCGCTCCTGTCACCTTCTGTCAGCTCCCGTAAGCTCCTTGCAGCTCCCGTAAGCTTCTTTCAGCTCCCGTAAGTTCCTTTCAGCTTTGGCAGCTCACGATAGCTCATGACAGCTGCCGTAGGCTCCTGGCAGCTCCTGTCAGCTCCCGTAAGTTGTATATCTGATCCCACCCTGACCATATTCCTGCCCTCACTTTCTTTGACCGTCCATTGTTCGTCGGTCGCCAGGAGAGCTTGACGCTGCTGCGAGCACCACAGGGCTACTAGCGGTACGTCACGTGCTGCTGGTTTTCTAGAGACGGATGTTTGCTGATATTAGGCTGTTAAGACTGAGCCGTGATGCTGTGGCCGGTGGGAGTGCCGGCGCCGGTCGTGGTGGACCCGACGCCCAGCGCTCCGCTTCGCGCTGCTACCACACAGGTAGGGTTCGGCACACCGACTCCCGATGGCTACGTGGACAGTGAAAATATTGCAATGCTATGGTACAGGTAGAGTGACCGTTCCGTTCTTTGTCAGGTCTCTGAATGGAGCTGCGTTCCGGTGGGCGGCTGGCTGCGCTCTCTCGGTCTGGCCCAGTACGCCGACGCGTTCGTCGCCCGCTCTGTGGATGGCGCCCGGCTTCTGGGGCTCACCGAACAGGCTATGGAAGACGAGCCCGACGTCGGTGAGAGATTCACATTGCTAGCTGAGAAGGTGGATGTGACTCAAATTATTCAGTTCATAGCCTGATTTATTTAGCTTAATCTATTTGTATTAATCGTATTGCCACCATTAACCTGACTCCTGACTCGTGATTGTGGTTGCCTCAGTTGTAGGCCTTAAGTGCACCGCATTTTGACAGGTCTCGACGTGGCGACCTCGGAGCCAGCGTGTTGGGTCTCGGCTTCCCGCCACTCACCGGCGGACCTTTCCGCTTCGTGGACCGCATCGGTCCCGCACAGCTAGTCAAGGACATGGAGCGCTTCGCCGTCGTCAATGGCGTCGGCTTCGAGCCGTGCCTGACCGTGCACTACCAGGCCGCTAGCGGCACCAAGTTCTGTTCGGCCGGGCCTCGTGTAATGCCCACATGTGATGACCGAGTGTATACGCATGTGAAGCCGCTCCGCGTGTGTACCAGCGCTGGGCGTGTTCAGTTTCAAAGTATGTAAATATAGAACCCTGGTGATCAAGCTACAGCTTTTGACGAGAAATAGAGTGAGGTCATTTTGAAAGCGATCAGACGGTAGCGCCGCCGTTCTTTGGCACGCCTTAGCATGCATCTGTGCTACACTAAAAGTTTAGGCTCGTGTCTTTCAAGGTCAGCAGGGTGAGGGCACCAGGTACTTCAAGTGGCCTCGTCTCAGGTAGAGTTCTAATACTCGTTCTAATACTACCAACACATCTAGTCAAGGAGCTGAGTTGAAATCGAGGGGATGGGGGGCTGTTCAGCCCCTTCACTGGGAGGTTCACGGTTCAGCCCCTCCCCCACCAGGCGCGAAAATCTAGGAGCCCCAGCGTGGAGTGAGATATAACCTTTTCGCAGCACGTGATCGGGCATTGCATCGAATGACACTGGGCGATTGAAAGATGTTTCAGCTCGCTTGTCAAGGCAAACATTTATTCACAACGAAAACAGACATAGGCACATGTGGATTGCTAATGGATAATGGATAATGGCAACGGGTAACACCCAGGACGTGCACCGTTTGCTGGAGAGCCAGCGGCTAGTGCGTCCCGCGCGGGGTCGCCACGGACGCCGTTCGTCACCCAGACAGCCGGCGGACCGGCGGACCGGCCGGGACGCCTAACGACAGACACAACCACCCCTCATGGCTATGTAGCGGGGCCGGGCTACCAGTGAGAGGTCACGGAAAGGTCAGCTCATAATGTGCACGGCGTGACATACAGTGTTAATGTCATCCCGCGGTCGCCGGACAGTGAAAAATTGGACAATGACATTTCGCCGTCAAGACGAGCTCTACTGTCTACAAGACACAAGTAGTCTACATACGCTCAGCGACGAGCGCAGGCCGCCGGAGGATCTCGACACGGTGCTGGCGCTGTGCGCGCGCCGCTTCCGCTCGTATATATTGTATTATCAGCTTTAGTATGTAGTATGCATTATCAGCATTTTTTTTTTATATAGTATGTATTATTATTATATAGTATGTATTATCAGCTTTTTTTTCCAAAGCTTCAGAGTTGTGTCGCCCTCGACACCACCTCCACAGGCTCCGCCCGCGCCGCTGCCGCCCCATCTACTCGAGGAGCAGCGAGCGTAGGTACGCCGCGCGACTGCTGGAGGTGATCGAGAGCGAGAAGTGCGGCATTAGCGCCTACGCGGCATTATATACCACCAGCAGACAGGATTTGATCTCTAGCAGACAAGCTTCTATCGGTGCCCCGCGCCGTCTCTCAACAATCGTCCACAGCCGCGGCTCCTGTGTACTGAGACGCTGTCACGACCGCGTCGTATCGCGACTGGAAGCCAGCCCACTGCCCGGTCTCTGCCGCGTCTCCGGCGGTTGGGACCTGTGCCGGGGGCGCCTCCTCCAACAGATTAGTGGCCATGGCCACCTGTAGCAAACCGCGGCAGCGGCGGTCGCCCAAGGGTCGCCGTGTCCACCTCCATAGAGATGTGCGCCGGCGCACTGTCGTCGCCGCCGCCGGCATCCTGCGGGAAGGAAAAATACATGTCCGGTCAGAGACTGGGGATCAACACTGGTATGTACAAAATTTGCCTATAGGATCCGCGACACCGGCACGTGAAGAGAAAGAGAGAGAAAGAGAGAGAGAGAGAGAGAGAGAGAGAGAGAGAGAGAGAGAGAGAGAGAGAGAGAGAGAGAGAGAGACATGGGGGTCATCTGGGACACGTCAGGTCACAGAGGTCAACTTGGAGTCATCAGAGAGGTCACATAGAGGTCACAGAGGTCATATGGGACACGCCAAGTCACAGAGGTCAACTTGGGGTCATCACAGAACTCAATTGGAGACCACGGAGGCAATCTGAGACACGTCGGTCACAAAGGGCAACTTTGGGGCACGTCAGGTCACAGAGGTCAACTTAGGGTCATCACAGAGCTCAATTGAGGGTCATCTGGGACACGTCAGGTCACAGAGGTCAACTTGGGGGTAGCAGAGAGCTCAATTGGAGTTCATCTGGGACATGTCAGGCCACAGAGGTCAGCTTGGTGTCATCAGAGCTCAAATAAAGGTCACGGAGGTCATCAGGGACACGTCAGGTAACAGAGGTCAACTTGGGGTCATCACAGAGCTCTGTTGGAGATCATGGGGGTCATCTGGGACACGTCAGCTCAAAGAGGTTAGCTTGGGAGTGATCAGAAAGGTCACGTAGAGGTTACAGAGGTCATATGGGACACGTCAGGTCACAGATGTCAAGTTGGGGTCATCATAGAGCTGAATTGGAGACCACGGAGGCAATCTGAGACATGTCGGTCACAAAGGGCAAGTTGGGGGCACGTCAGGTCACAGAGGTCAATTTATGGTCATCACAGAGCTCAATTGGGGGTCTTCTGGGACACGTCAGGTCACAGAGGTCAACTTAGGGTCATCACAGAGCTCAATTGAGGGTCATCTGGGACACGTCAGGTCACAGAGGTCAACTTGGGGTCATCAGTGAGCTCAATTAGAGGTCATCTGGGACATATCAGGTCACAGAGGTCTGCTTGGAGTCATCAGAGCTCAATTGGAGGTCACGGAGGTCATCTGGGACACGTCAGGTCACACAGGTCAGCTTGGGGTCATCAGAGGTCACTTAGAGGTCGTGGAGGTCATATGGGACATGTCAGGTCACAGAGGCCAACTTGGGGTTATCAGAGAGCTCAATTGGAGGTCATCTGGGACACCTAAGGTCACAGAGGTCAGATTGGAGTCATCAGAGAGCTCAATTGGAGGTCACTGAGGTCATCTGGGACACATTAGGTAACAGAGGTCAACTTGGGGTTATCACAGAGCTCTGTTGGAGATCATGGGGGTCATCTGGGACATGTCAAGTCACAGAGGTCAACTTGGTTCATCACAGAGCTCGATTGAAGGTCATGGGGGTCATTTTGGACACGTCAGGTCACAGAGGTCAGCTTGGGGTCATCAGAGAGTTCACTTAGAGGTCGCAGAGGTCATATGGGACACGTCAGGTCATAGAGGTCAACTTGGGGACATCAGTGAGCTCAATTGGAGGTCATCTGGGACATATCAGGTCACAGAGGTCAGCTTGGAGTCATCAGAGCTCAATTGGAGGTCACGGATGTCATCTGGGACACGTCAGGTCACACAGGTCAGCTTGGGGTCATGAGAGAGGTCACTTAGGTCATCTGGGACACGTCAGGTCACACAGGTCAACTTGGGGTCATGAGGGAGGTCACTTAGATGTCACAGAGGTCATATGGGTCATGTCAGGTCACAGAGGTCAGCTTGGGGTCATCAGAGAGGTCACTTAGAGGTCGCAGAGGTCATATGGGACACGTCAGGTCACAGAGGTCAACTTGGGGTCATCAGTGAGCTCAATTGGAGGTCTTCTGGGACATATCAGGTCACAGAGGTCAGTTTGGAGTCATCAGAGCTCAAATGGAGGTCACAGAGGTCATCTGGGACACGTCAGGTCACACAGGTCAGCTTGGGGTCATGAGGGAGGTCACTTAGAGGTCACAGAGGTCATATGGGAAATGTCAGGTTACAGAGGTCAACTTGGGGTTATCAGAGAGCTCAATTGGAGGTCATCTGGGACATGTCAGGTCACATAGATCAGCTTGGAGTCATCAGAGAGGTCACTTGAGGTCACAGAGGTCATATGGGACACGTCAAGTCACAGAGGTCAACTTGGGGTCATCTCGGACAAGTCAAGTCACAGAGGTCAACTTGGGTCATCAAAGAGCTCGATTGAAGGTCATGGGGGTCATCTCGGACACGTCAGGTCACAGAGGTCAGCTTGGGGTAGTCAGAGAGGTCACTTAGAGGTCGCAGAGGTCATATGGGACACGTCAGGTCACAGAGGTCATCAGTGAGCTCAATTGGAGGTCATCTGGGACATGTCAGGTCACATAGATCAGCTTGGAGTCATCAGAGAGGTCACTTGAGGTCACAGAGGTCATATGGGACACGTCAAGTCACAGAGGTCAACTTGGGGTCATCTCGGACAAGTCAAGTCACAGAGGTCAACTTGGGTCATCATAGAGCTCGATTGAAGGTCATGGGGGTCATCTCGGACACGTCAGGTCACAGAGGTCAGCTTGGGGTAGTCAGAGAGGTCACTTAGAGGTCGCAGAGGTCATATGGGACACGTCAGGTCACAGAGGTCATCAGTGAGCTCAATTGGAGGTCATCTGGGACATATCAGGTCACAGAGGCCAGCTGGGAGTCATCAGAGCTCATTTGGAGGTCACGGAGGTCATCTGGGACACGTCAGGTCACACAGGTCAGCTTGGAGTCATCAGAGAGGTCACTTGAGGTCACAGAGGTCATATGGGACACGTCAAGTCACAGAGGTCAACTTGGGGTCATCACAGAGCTCAATTGAGGGTCATCTGGGACACGTCAGGTCACAGAGGTCAGCTTAGGATCATCAAAGAGCTCAATTGGAGGTTACGGAGGTCATCTCGGACAAATCAAGTCACAGAGGTCAACTTGGGTCATCATAGAGCTCGATTGAAGGTCATGGGGGTCATTTTGGACACGTCAGGTCACAGAGGTCAGCTTGGGGTCATCAGAGAGGTCACTTAGAGGTCGCAGAGGTCATATGGGACACGTCAGGACACAGAGGTCAACTTGGGGTCATCAGTGAGCTCAATTGGAGGTCATCTGGGACATATCAGGTCACAGAGGTCAGCTTGAAGTCATCAGAGCTCAATTGGAGGCCACAGAGGTCATCTGGGACACGTCAGGTCACACAGGTCAGCTTGGGGTCATGAGAGAGGTCACTTAGAGATCACAGAGGTCATATGGGACATGTTAGGTCACAGAGGTCAACTTGGGGTTATCAGAGAGCTCAATTGGAGGTCATCTGGGACATGTCATGTCACAGAGATCAGCTTGGAATATCCAGAGAGGTCACTTGAGGTCACAGAGGTCATATGGGACACGTCAACTCACAGAGGTCAACTTGGGCCTTGGGGTCATCACAGAGCTCAATTGAGGGTCATCTGGGACACGTCAGGTCACAGAGGTCAGCTTAAGATCATCAAAGAGCTCAATTGGAGGTTAAGGAGGCTATCTCGGACACATCAAGTCACAGAGGTCAACTTGGGTCATCACAGAGCTCGATTGAAGGTCATGGGGGTCATCTGGGACACGTCAGGTCAGAGGTCAGCTTCGGGTCATCAGAGAAGTCACTTAGAGGTCACAGAGGTCATATGGGACACGTCACGTCACAGAGGTCAGCTTGGAGTTATCAGAGTTAAACTGGAGGTCACGGAGGTCATCTGGGACATGTCAGGTCAAAAAGGTCAGCTTGGGGTCATCATAGAGCTCGATTGAAGGTCATGGGGGTCATCTTGGACACGTCAGGTCACAGAGGTCAACTTGGAGTCATCAGAGAGGTCACTTAGAGGTCACAGAGGTCATATGGGACATGTCAGGTCACAGAGGTCAACTTGGGGTTATCAGAGAGCTCAATTGGTGGTCATCTGGGACACCTAAGGTCACAGAGGTCAGATTGGAGTCATCAGAGAGCTCAAGGGGAGCTTAAGGAGGTCATCTCAGACACATCAGGTAACAGAGGTCAAGTTGGGGTCATCACAGAGCTCTGTTGGAGATCACGGGGGTCATCTGGGACACATCAGCTCACAGAGGTCAACTTATGGTCATCATAGAGGTCACATAGAGGTTACAGAGGTCATATGAGACATGTCAGGTCACAGATGTCAACTTGGGGTCATCACAGAGCTCAATTGGAGACCACTGAGGCAGCTGAGACACGTCGGTCACAAAGGGCAGCTTGGGGGCACGTCAGGTCACAGTGGTCAACTTATGGTCATCACAGAGCTCAACTGGGGATCTTCTGGGACATGTCAGGTCACAGAGTTCAGCTTGGGGTCATCAGAGAGATCACTTAGAGGTTACAGAGGTCATATGGGACACATGAGGTCCCAGAGGTCAAGTTGGGGTCATCACAGAGCTCAAATGGAGGTCATCTGGGACATGCCAGGTCACAGAGGTCAGCTTTGAGTTATCAGAGCCAAATTGGAGGTCACGGAGGTCATCTGGGACACGTCAGGTCAAAAAGGTCAACTTGGGGGTCATCACAGAGCTCATTGGAGGTCATGGGGGTCATCTGGGACACGTTTTTGGAATCGGGAGAATTTTGGGGGATGACCCTTGCAACGTCCAAGACCTTAGACCACCTTTCTGGATTAGCCAGTAGTTGCTGGAATGGTGCTAGGCTACTTCCAATCCCTGAATACCCCAATAAATGTGAAATAGCATATTATGGACCATTTTTAACACTCTCGCTGCCTCGCTGGCATGGATGGACAGGATGGAGGCCTCATAGACGACCTGTCAGTTCAAGCTCTATAACTTGCATTAGCATCAACGGATTGCAACAAAATTTTCAGGATCTCAAGTTCAAACAATTTTACACGTAGGTACCATGTAAATTTCGAGACAATGACCCGAATGACCTGTAACCTCTTCCCCAAGGCAAGGTCAACTTGCGACACTGACACTACTAACTACTTACGACTGCTATTTCAATTTTGTAAGTTGTGTCGCAAATCAAGCAGCGTGCAATACATTAAAATTACAATAACCCACACCAAAACACACTATACCTACCAAATCAAGCTCTTCAGCACCCCTAAGGCCAGTGCACCGGCACGGGGCACGTCCAAGGTCAAATGGATTTTCGGTTTGTTATTTTCATCAAGGTTTTGATAGGTGCTCGCACGGTAGCCATGTTGGGATAGGTGAATTAAAGGTTAAATTATTTAAATATTTTAAAATAATTTAAGACCTGCCAAGCCTAACAATACGCAGAATAAAAACCAAAATTAAAAATTGTATTGGGATAAAAATTTATATGTGAATCGAAAGGGTCCGCTAAAAATGACCTTGACCTTTGACCCGTCATTTCTCCGTAGTTTGACCTTGCCAAAACAAGAAAAACCAGCAGTAGCATCTCCAACATTGGTTGCATCATTGAGCAAAAAATTATTGAAATCTAAGGGGTCCTCCTTTCTCACCTGACCACGTGGTCACTTCCACTTCCTGTATTACACATACGTGACCTTGATTCTGACCTTTGACCTATTATATATCAGTTCGTGCTGCTTGCCAAAGTAAGATACTGATATTTTTGAAATCAACTCTTCATGGACTATAGTTGTACTAATTTTTACGAGAATCCAAAGGGTCCGCCGAGAATGACCTTGAACTTTGACCTAAGATTCCTCAGTTCTTAGGGGGTGCCAAGCCTAGGTGATTTATATTCATAATAAGCATGTCCTGCTCTATCTATCCTGTTAATTTAAATCGATTCTGAGGGGTCCGTTTTTGTCATTTTTTCCACGAATGTGGTGCTGGAATCCGAATCCGAATTTGAAGCCAACTTTATGAACGTAATGGCGTGGGCGTGAGTTTCAACGTGAGGATAATTATGGCGGCCTAATCTGTAAACTTCAACAATACTGACGTCATTAAAAATAAGGTAAAAATGATAAAAATATAAAATAAAAGTCACAAAGATCAAGTTTTTTATTTTTTAGCATTTGAATAAATAATTGTAAACAAAAAATATAAAAATGATCATATATGACTTGAATATTTATTTAGCGTCATTTCCGCTGTTTTTTGCTTCCATATTTTGCCAGATCCAAAAACTGTAAAAATGCACCAAATGCGGTAAATATTCACCAAATGTGACATCTTTAATCAATATTGGTAGGCTAGCACCAAAACATTAATTTGTTTTACCAAAATAAGTGAAATTGATCACCAAAACAGGAATTTACAGGAAACCCTACCATTTTTAGGGAAAACCCTACCAAAGGAAACACAAATTTACCGAAAAGTAAACTCCCAACACCAAATGCATGCAAGAATGCACCAATTTTAGTAGGAATATTTTATCTACTGGATCAAATGGTACAATTTCAGTAGAATATCTGGCAGCGCTGGCATCAACTTCGCGTGCCGCGCCCGCGACGCTTCGAATGTGGCGTCGTCCAGTCCAAGGCAATATATAGGCCTACCCGCGTCGTCGGTAGCGTTCTTTGCTCAGGGCCGCGGGGGACTCATGGCCGGCTCGATCCCCGGCAGTCAAAGTTGCTGAGCGGCGGGGGGAGGTAGGTCCAAAGTATGAATGGCATGCCTATTGCATATATATATATATATATATATATATATATATATATATATATATATATATATATATATATATATATATATATATATATATATATATATATATATATATATATACAGGGCCTCCTCTAACATACCCACTGGGTGGGCAAATGCCCACCCAGTCGCCACAATTGCCCACCCAGTGGCGTCGATTTGCCCACCCAGAAGCAAATGCAAAAATAAAGGTCCGGCCGGACGTCCGGTACTACCTTTCCGGTCTTAAGCAAACTGGATGCTGTTTGAAGGTCAAAAAAAGTTTTCTGGTTGCTCGATATTCAGGAGCGTAGCCAGGATTTCCTCAAGGAGGGGGCTAAACGCACAAGGGCGCAAGATAACCCCCTCAAAATCCAAAAAGCCATCGGGTTGCATCCAATATTTTTTTGGATGGGGCCCAAATAAATGGAAAAAATATTCATTAACAAACAATGTTAGAACTGAGGGGGTAAGCAGTATATGGGCCCCTGTTAGACAGGCCCACGAATAGCTTCATAGAGTCGCCAGCCGGTTCTGATGGCGGTCTGAGGACCCGTAGGTCGGATGAGGGTTCTTCAGACCGTCACAGGCCCCTATAGCCCATGAGAGCCTCGTAAGCCGTCTGAGGGTCATATAAGCCGTCTAGGGCCACTCAGACCGACAAAAGGCCCCTTGCACTTGCAGAGGCCCAGTCAGGCCGACGTAGGGCCCTCTCAGACAAACTAAGGGCCCGTTCAGGTCATTTGAGGGCCTCCTTAAACCGATAAGGGCCCCTCAGATCGACAGTGGATCCGATCCGAGCTCCCTCAAACCGATATAGGGTCAGACCAACAGTCGGAACGCATTGATTCTGTTTACACACCGTTGGACCCAAGTTGGACCCATCCCATCCAACTGGCCCCTTGGTTTCAATAGGGCCCCAAGGCTCTAAAATTGGGTCTCTCTTGGCCAAAGAATAACTACTCAGCTGTGTCAAAGGATCTGCCGCAGGGCCTTTGCGTCGCCAAGGGCCCACTGTGTCAGTCAGGGGCCCCTATGGAACAAGGACCCCTGGCTTCCAGGAGGGGCCATGGTCCCTTTGGCCCCCTCCTTGGCTATGCCACTGCAGGTGACAAACGTTCTTTCAGACGACCAGGGGGCAGGGGCCCAGGCGACCAGAACCCCAGGTGACCAGGGGCCCCCAGGCGACTAGCTCCCCCCAAGCGACCAGGGGCCCCCTGGGCGACCAGAGGCCCCAGGAAACCGGGGGTCCTCGGATGAGTGCAGGGACCCATTGGGTAATCAGGGGCACCTCGGGTAACCAGGGCCACAGAAATGAAACTTGAATTGATATAAATTTGCTTCCGAGTAAAATACGTTTTATCCAGTGTTAGAAAAAAATATCCCGGGGCCTGTGGGGCCCCCATGGCGCCTTCTGCGCTCAAGGGAGGGGGCCATTGCCCCCGTGGCCCCTCCCCTTGGCCACGCCCCTGCCGATATTTGAGTTATCAAGTAATTGTCTCGTAAGTGAAAAGGCACGTACAATAAAGGTACAACCCTCTGCAAGCTGCGTGGTAGGTATCTTTTTTCGACAAAACCGAGAATAACGCGAATACGCTAACGGTCATTCGGAAATCGTAACAGCAAGACGCGCGAGACTCCGCACCTTAGATTGGGCTTATTTTGGTATACATTTTCCATCTAGTTTGACAACAACACACAAAAGTTTATATTTCCCCCAAAACAAACTTTTGCTTTTTTGCTACGGTAAGAGTACACATTGTTCAGTGACTGAATTAATCGAAGGGGTGGAGCATGGCGCATCTATATGCAATGTGTTCCGACCGACTGATAATCATAACCTTTGAGATATTAGGTATCGGTTTTGTCGAAATAAGAATACCTACCACGCAGTTTTTGCGGAGGGCTGCAAGTACAGCCCTCTGCAGACTGCGTGGTAGGTATCCTTTTTTTCGACAAAACCGAGAATAACGCGAATACTATGCTATCGGGCACTCGGAAATCGTAACAGAAAGATGCGCGAGACTCCGCAGCTTAGATTGGCATTATCATCGTATGCATTTTCCATCCAGTTTGGCAACAAACCCAAAAGTTTATATTTGCCCCCAAAACGAACTTAAACATTTTGTTGCCACACAAGGCGTAGGTATGCTTTGTTTATTGATAGGCCCTATCGAAGGAGTGGAGCATGGCGCATCTATTTGCAGTGAGCTTCGACCGACTGATAACATGACTTTTGAATTATAATCAGTTTTGTCGGAAAAAGAATACCTACCACGCAGTCTGCTGAGGGCTGTACATGTAATCTGGAACGAATCGCTCGAGCATCGCTAACCATAAAACATACGACAAACGTTAACTATCATCTTATTTCCAATAATGGCACAGCTTATTTCGTCTCATCCCCGCACCCCCCCCCCCCCCCCCCGGTAACAGGTTTTGAAATTGGTTGAACCCCAAAGCAAGTGGCTGGATCCGCCCTTGGGCGGGAAAGTGGCGAAAATTTTGCCCACCCAGTGAAAAATCCTTAGAGGAGGCCCTGTATATATATATATATATATATATATATATATATATATATATATATATATATATATATATATATATATATATATATATATATATATATATATATATATATATGCACATAACATGCTTATAAGCAATAAGCATACCTATAGGTATTCGTGATCAGCACTCCGAAAAAACCCATAGCAATAGCTTTGAGCCAGACTTTACGACGTTCTAACAGGTGTCGATTTTCCCGACTTTTGGGGTCATTGACCTGACCTGGAAGGTCAACCGATGACCTAGGATATAATCAGCTTCCTCTCGTCACAGGCAACACGCTCGTTTTTTTCGTGACGCTCTAGCTCAATCGGGGGCCAAACGCGAGGGGGTCGTACCCCCCCCCCCGCTTGTGCCGTCGAAGAACGCAAAATGGCCTGTGCCGGCGGGGGCTAGAAGACTATAGGGCCGGAGGATCCAGGGCGTCGCAAGTCCATCTACGACATGTCGCAAGTTACGACACATGTCCCGTCGCAAGTTGTGTCGTAGCGAAAAAGGGTATCTCCTATACATATATAGTTATAAATATTATATCCTGATTCCTGTCTATATATAGAGGGGACTGAATGTTATGCTACTGAATATCGCAGGTTGCTGTAAGTTTTAAGATAGCGTGTGTAACTGTGTATACCTATTACCTAAGAGAAGTCGTATTGCAATGAGCAGAAATACTGTGAGTACAGGCATTATACCTAACTCACTGTAGGCATTATAGCTTTGTTCGTTTCTAGACTCGGTACTCTCATACGTTGTGATGATTCGTCCTCCTGTTGTGCTCTACATATCATATTGCAGCGAAATTTGTCTACCCTGCGAAAAAAAAAATCAAATAAACTGTCTGCGACAAAACATCGAAAGCGTCCCGAAAGGAACACGACACCAACTCTGATTTTTTCACCGTTTTCATGACTTTATCGCTATAATTGCGTGCTAGAAAATCGCCTGTCGCGAATGTAGTTTGCATGATAACCTATGCTTTCGTCGATAAATGCTGCTTATTTATATATATTATTATAGCTAGTGACTTAACACCGTAACATACATGGGTGGAGAATGTTTGAAAAAGTTACCCCGGCCGGCGACCGATAGTCGCGGGAAGACGATATACTCACGTTGTTCTCAACGGTCATCATCAAACCCCTATTCTGACGCATGGAATAGGATGCTGTGTTTGCTCAAGGATGAGCGTTGTATCCGACACCGTATTATTCATAACATTTTTGGAATGATCGAAAAGGCAATTTCCTTTTAAATTATCATTTCTTTTTACTTAAACTTCCAATTTCACACCGAGCCCAAACCAAACCATATGCCATTTTGAGAACCTAAATGTTGCGTTTTCAGCTTTTTATTGTGTCTCAAAATAGCTACAAAAAGACAACTCACCATAGTAGAAGCTTTACAGAGAAATTGACAGATCGAACCAAGCAAAGCACTAAAATAGGTCACTGACATCCACGGGCGTAGCCTTTTTCAATGTTGGGCGGCTCTTATAATACAAACAGGGAGTCGATCCAGGAATATCGACCGGTCCCGGTCTCGTAGCTCAGTTGGTAGAGCGTTGGATTCCGCGTGGCGAGAGCACGCGGCCCGGTTACAACAGTCCGAGTTCGAAGCATGATGGCCGCTCGGTGTTTATGAGCACCCTGACGGGTACGCTCATAAACGGGTGTGGTTGCGGTTGGTGGCAGGTCAGTTTAAGGCAATGAGGTCAAGCAGTAGTTTTGAAAAAGTGCGCCGAAGGCGCGCCAAAATTTCGAAACTGAACAGGATTTGAGAGCAATCTTGGCATTGGCGACCACACGCGGGTCTTAGGGTTGGAGATTATGGCAAGTTAAGTAAATGGTAAATACCTACCTGATTTGCAATATTACGCCCATGGAAGTCAACATTCGAAGAGCGTGAGTTTTCTTTTCTCGTATGGAGACAGCTTTTAGGATTTACAAGAGTAGAAAAGTTACCCCGGCCGCGCCGGGGTAGGCTGAAAGTTACCCCGGCCACGGCCGGGGTGGCCGGGGCAGGTTCTCCACCCATGGTAACATAGCTGTTTACTAAACTTATCAGTTATTTATGGTGGGAGTTTTAAGGACCAGGAGCGTGTTCACAGCTCACTTCCCTCTTCCTTTCAGTGAAACGTTTGTCAGGGTTCACGGTGTTTTGCTGTTTCACACGACTGCCTTATATGGTATGGTGAAAAGTGGATTTAAAACGACCGTATTGAGCTCATGCAGTGTATTCGGCAAGGTAATATGAAAGCACTGCGACAGTAATATTTCATTTATATATCGTATATTCACATTTATATTGTTATTTCCTATCAACGATTTGCGTTGTAATTCAATGTTCCGTTTCCAATTATACGGACGGAAGTCATCACCAGGCAAGGCTACTTTTGTAACAGGCACATTTCATAAGCTTGCTCTGAATTAGGATGCCAAAAATGATCATACCTATTACCTATGCACACCAAACCAGCTGTTTTTCGAATGCTGACAGCGTGTACCAGCGTAGGCGACAATGAACAAGTGTTCGTTAGGTACATACGTGGCGACTCCCACCTTTTGCTCAAGTTCCTAATGAACGTTTACGTAATGCCTAAATAAGCCAGTTCATGCTCGTGATCGTGCGGCATTTCTGCACGTAATCGTGCCAGCTCAACAACAGTTTTTTAAGCATACTACGTGAAAATTTCAACAATGGCAGATTTAATTGAATCACATTGTGGTAAAGACTGGGACAATTCTTGCTCGATGCGTTTGACGCTTGTAACGCCATTGTTTCAGCCAGGAAGCTGATCTATTACACGCCTTTTGTGGCTTACATCACATTAGCACTCAGGCAGCTGCATTATCTAACAAGCTCATTGCAACAAACATTGTGACCCATGCAATAAAGTCCTCGACAGCACCGTAATATTTCGAACAATATGGCACGCGATAACATATATAGCATCTCTAGCGTAAACATACATTTCTTCGTGTTTCTGCATGAGTCAGGGACCAAACTCGAACTAAATAACGGCAGACACATGTTTTTAAAGATCTTGTCACTCTAGGTCGCTGTTGGGCATGAAGTAAAACAAAGGAAGTGGCCGTGTTTTGAGCTGACATACACGTGTCTTGTCATAGCCAGGTGGCTTCATTGTGTGAGAGCCGGTGAAATAGATCGTCCTGCATCACAGCGCGAAATTCGGGAATGTGAATTTCGTGCCGCGAAACACTTTTTGGCATGGCAGTGCTTGATTCATCATGACTTCAGGCTGAGCATCCACAACTTGCATTGCTGGCAGTAACCACTGGTCGAATATTTACGTGCATTCATCATCAGCAAAATCGAGATCCGGCAATTTCATTGGCACAGAGAATCCCTTACATCAAATGGGATCTTTTGCCGACTGGCTACCTTACACAACACACATACCACATTGTAACGCGACCTAGTTCAATGAGCGTGTCTCACTCAAGGATACAATACCTATCAGCTTTCAACCCACATTCCCGCTGTCAACGTTGAACTTGTTCCACGCCTCCAACTCCTCCTTTCGTGTTCCTTTGTCCTTGTGTAGTTTACACTCACTTTCCCTCCTTTCGCTTCGACACGTACTTCGAACAATGAATGATATGTTGCGTCATATTTAACTCTGAGCGGTAGTTAGGAATTTGTCTATTTGTCGAACGAAATTACAGTTTTTGCCTCCTTTGCAACAAACTTCGCTTTGTTCGACGACGATTCCTAACGAAATGCCATTCATTCCCGACTTTGAATCCTCCTATGTGTCTGAAAGGATTGTCATCTCTGCCGACGTTTCTCTCAGTAGTGACGTCATCAGTCTGTTGACTGGTTGGAGATCTAGAAAAGAACCAGCGATCTCCGATACTGAATCCTCCGATGTGACCGAACGGGTTGTTCTTGTTAGTACTGGAGCTGGATGATGAAGAGGCTGGTTGATTGTACTGAATGTTATCCGGAAGCTTTCTTTGAGCTCTCTGGAAGTTTCCGGGGCTCGCCCGAGCCTTATTGTTTTCACGCTGTGGCAATGGAGGTAGTTGATAACTCACGACTGATCTTTGGTTCTGTTGAGCCTGTGGCTCAGTTAGCTGTTGCTGATGTTGCTGAAGAATCCTTCCCGGATCTTGTTGTCTGCTGGCCCTGAGCTTCTGTAGATCGGCGAGCGAAATTACCACCCTGTCGAAGGCACGCTGCCTGCCGCTAGGAGATGCTGTAGCTTCAGTTCTCGTAGGGGATGTTGTACTTGTTGGTGAGATCGCCGTGGGTTTCAGCAGGTCCTTCAGCTTGACGACTACTCTGAGACGCGTCAGAGGGGTGGGTGGAGGTGTCGCACGGATCTGACTCTCCGTTACTGACGTGACCTGGTGTGGATGATGCCCTCTGGAAACCTTTAGTTGGGATGAATCTGTAACTTCCTCATTTCCAAACACAGAGACATGTTTTGCTTCTGAAGGTAGGTCTAAGTGTGATGGTTCCGTCCTACTGGAAGATCCTTGCGCTGTGAATTCATCTCGTTGGTGGTGTGATGGCCCAGTGAAAGGTGCCGTAGACCCGGTTGTTTCTCGATCATCACTTTGAGATGTGTGTTGTGCGCCCTCCAGATCAGATGTGAAATGCTGATCTTCTAGTCTTACCGAGGCTTCCCCGTTTTTACCTGTGTCTTCACTCTTTCTGTTTTCTGAGGTGTCTGGTACGTGATAGTTTGATGAATGAATAGACTTGCTTTGCAATATTGAAGCTATCACATCCACTTTGCTGGGCTCTGGTTTAACGTGTCGGGCTATCGAACTAGGAATTGTGCTCGCTTCGCCTCCTTTGACGTTTGAAGCTGAATTATCGGCAAGGATCTGCTCTTTAGCAGTTGGTGTTTTCCTGTTCCTGTATTCAACCAACTCCTTGATGGCATCCAGCACCTCTTCTGTGGACTTTGTCTTGCTCGTGAACGTTGCTGAGCCTTGTGTCTGCAAGACCTTTGTATTATTTTCTCCTTGCTCTGAGGATGCCTTCGGACTATTTCTCGTGCTTCCCTCTTTCGCTACAAGCCTGCCGAACCGCCTGCCTTGCCGTCCTCCTAGCTGATTGTCACCAAACTCATACAAAGAGTTGGCCACTGGACGCTGCCAGCAGTGGTACTGCGTGTTTATCTTCCAGATGTCGATGTCGGTGAGGTTGCCGTTGCCTCCCAGCTTGACACCACCCTGTCTGGCCACCATGGTGGGTTTGGTGCTATCCACAGCCGATCCGCGTCCCGAGTAATGCAGGATCGAGCGGAAGTCGTACGGACCCAGCCAGCTGCCCTCGCCGAGCTCCTCCCAGACCCTCCGGCCGTAGTCGGTCCGGCGATGTCGTGGCTTGATGTTATCCCACAGCACCCTGACGAACTGATCCCGGTCCGGTCTCTGATGTTCGTGCCAGAACCCTGCTGTGTGCATCAGCTCGTGTGCAGCGTGTCCGAAACTGAGACACCAGTGTGGCAGGCTGATCTTCTGGCGTCCTCCGCGGCGTCCCACTTCTCCACTACATCGACCAGTGGGAGTGATACGCACGTAGTCCTTCTCGCTAGTTCGAGGCACCAAGCGAAGGCAGGTGACGGTTTCGAAGAGCCGGAAGACCCTGTCGATGAGCTCCCGCTCCGAGGAGCTGTAGTTGGAGGATATGCTGTAGGGAATGACACCGTTTGGCCAGAGGCGGAGTCTCGTTGGACGGCGTCTTCTTTGTGGAAAGAGCGCTCGACTGCCGGTAAAACGACGGTCGTATACTGGAAAAGGTGTAGGACCGGGGACGATAGAGGACTTGGAGTGTCCACTGGATATAACGTCATTCAGAGAACTGATGACACCTGAAGGTGTACCTTGATCACCATGAGAGGATGCATAGATGAGGGCTTTTTGAATCCTCGCCATTGTGGCGGAAGTCATCGGCGTGCTGTCGAGGATTTCGACGTCTTCTTCAGGGTCGTTGATGTCATCAACGTCACTCATGTCGCTGTCAGGATCGTGGACTTCTCCTGATGTTTGTGTGCTCTTCGAGGTGTCTTTGTGTGATGTTTCTGCTGAGACCAGCCCAGGGCCATTGGATGCGACTTCTCGTGATGTTACAGCCAGGTCGCGAGTTCCTGGAGGGATGATTGGTCTCCATCTCTTCTGAGACAGAGATGGTGCTGAAAGAGATGCTCTCGGCGCTGATGGGACACTTCCAGATGATGTCGCGCCTTGGGAGGTCAGGTCAGTTACTGAGGACCTCGGCACTCCGACTGATCTCTCGTCACTCACGTCGGGCACTCCTGCCGGCACTCCACGACCACGTGTCTCTCGATCGAACATTCGACGCATTACACCAGTGAGTGCTCCGCTAGACCTCACATCGCTAGGCGGCACTCTCGATACTCTCTGTAACACTCCGAACACTCCTCCAGTCACTCCTCTCCACTCGGAACCCGACACTCCGGCGGGCACTCGCGGCACTCGTGAGTCCACCTCTGGCACTGTATCCACCGCGCCGTCCACCTCAGTCCACCTTCCACCGTTGTCCACCGTTGGAGACCGGCTGTGGACGCTGTGGACAAGCCCGAGCAGAAGTAGCTTCACCACTGTCACAAAAGTCGCCGCGGCTGCCATTTCTGTTGTCCTTTGATGCACTCCGCTGAAGCCAGTTTACACTCGATTGTTACACCCGTTTTACGCCTTGTTACACTCGATCGGGAGACAGTTACGCCAGATTGTAGCGTAATTACACCCGTCTGAGATGTAAAACGGTGCTTAGTTACACATTGTTTGCGTAGAGTTACACTCACTGCCGTTCAGTTCGCTCCGCTCTCGTACTCCTTTTCGCACCTTTTCACACAGTTTCTGCGCCCTCACCAGGTGCCCTGCAGCGCTGGCGGCGGCACCTGACCGCCGCGGCTCCGGGCCTGTTTCTGGGAGGCTGGCGCCGGCCATGGTCGGCTTTATATAGACTCTGACACATTTTCCGACTCTGCAAAGACGTGCAGTGGCGCCGGCACCGAGGCATGTAGCGCCGACAGTTGCCTAACGGAGATCTGAAATCGGATTTCAGCTGGTCGCTCAGGGCAGGTGGCATCGAGTATTTCGTAAATCCGAGCGCGACATTTTTTGTTCGTGAGTGTGCGTGATGCAATTCGGTCGGAAATTTGCAGGGATGCTTAATGCTTATACCGCAAGGGATGCTCGTTATACCGCAAAACGGACATCTTCACGCGAGCAACGTCAAAACTAAGACCGGATAAGTGCGGTTGTGGTTAGGTAACTAGGCTATACCGCAAATGAAGCATGTCAATTGAAGTGTTTTTGCGGTGGGGCTATAGCATAGTGAAACGAAGTTTGGAGAAATATGATTTGCGTCACGATTTATCTCACTGCCTTGTTTGTTGGGTTTTCTAGGAAATGTCGCAGTTACGATACACCCGAGTCATGCCAAAGAGAGAAAGTGAACACAGACTGCTTGTTAACGATTTTTGCGAAGTTGTGGCCTCATAGATGTGTAATGCAAATGTTCGTTAGGACCATTTTACTTGAACTCTTAGTGGGATTCAACCATTTCTGATCATAATGCCTAAATCAATAAGCACGAATCGGAAGGCCTAGCCGCATTTCCGGAAGTATAATTTAAAGCTCAGCCACGCACCGTCATTTCTTTAGCGCCAGTCACTGATGTCTTCCTTCCAAGCCGGTTTGAAGACATATTGCAGCTCCGGATATATCTGGGCTAACCCATACTCAGCAATGAATCGGAGATGAAAACCGGACCTCGATGGTAGCTCGGTGATTTTACAAACCGGTTTTGTGAGAACACAACCCCGGTAGGGATGTGTCGCACCTCCCGGCCAGTATAGTGACCGGATTACAGCCTGTAAAACACACTTTAGTTGGGATAAAGCGAAGCAACTCATTTCTGGTTTGTGCATGGCTACTCTCACTTTCGAGGAGATGCGAAATCAAGTCGCAAAGCAAGTGAGCGGCATACGTTGTACGTTTGTTCCACTTTATCAGGCTTGTTTTAGGTGCATATCCAATAGGGCTTTATCAGTGTAGTCATGGGCAAATTGGTCCGCCTTGGTTGTGCAGAATAGAGATGCAATTGTGGAATTTCCAGTTTCCATCACATTCATGTCGCAGCAGTTTCGTAACTCTTTATCATAATTTAGACGAAACGTTTACGTTTTATTTAGTCGCGTTAACACTCCATTTAAAATGAGCATTGCATAGCCTCTGGTCTATGCTAAATCCGTACCCAGAATGAAAACCATAGCTTCAAATACTTCCGTTTTAAATCTATCTAACATAGCCTCATAACTGAATCATGCTTCTGTGCTTTGTCCCAAGCTCCAGCTCAGCTAATACCGCCGGCATGACAGAACTGGCAACCAAGCGTGAGCTCCGACTCTGGCCATTTGTTATCTGGCAACTGTACCGACACTTCTGACCACACTGCCGACGGAATCAGACCGAGCCGAGCCTGCACGTTTTCACACTCGACGAGTCACGGCGTCTCCTGTCCCCTCGCCCCCCCCCCTCGGTGCCCCCTCTCCCGAATCCCTCCCCTCCCTTGTCCCCCTCCCCGCCGAGTCTCTCGGCCGTGCCCCCCCCCCCCCGCCCGCTCCGTGCATCCCCCCCCCTGCCCGCTCCGTGCACCCCCTCCCCTGACCGTTTCCTGTGTCCGATAAACTCACCCCCCCCCATCTGACGGGGAGGGGGTCACAAAGTATGCGTTGGTCACGTGCACAATAGACACGTTTGGTACATTATTCAGTGAGTGGGTGGGGCGGGGCCGGCGGGATATTTCCGTCACTGTTCGGCCGGCCTGAGCTAGCTGGTTTTCCCCTGTCTGTGCCACCTGCAGCTGGCAGTTTTCAGACTTTTGTGAGACATTTGACCTGCAATAGGCTCATTCGTTCGTGGATTGTCGGTTCGGTAATTCTGACGCATGCCTACTTAATTACGCTCAATAGAAAGGCGTTGAACTGAACCAGTTGCCATGGAGATATGTAATGAAATTCAAGGTCGACGAAATGGAGGTATACCGTTTCGCTGGTTCCGTAAATGTATAACTGGTGGTCATTTGTGAAACTGGTGGTCATCTGTGACATAGTTTTTGGTCGATTACCATCGGGGCCAGCTACACACACTTCTGAAATAAATAAACGTTTTCTGCGAATCACTTTGCTATCCCCAGGCCGCCAAGCTCCCTACATCCGTCAATCACTCGAGATATATTAGCTCAAATGAAGCACTGGCGCGCCGGCTACATTTTGCTCTCGGGAACAGCCGCAACATCTGGCGGTCCGTTGAGACATTTCCTGTAGCTATAGCTACATGATCTATAGATCGCCGAGCGGTGTCTGATTTTCCACGGTGCACGGGCTCTGTTCAGCGAGCACTGCCTTCCTGCAAATTGAATCAGACATACCAGAGATATCTGTCACGTTTGGTCTGACTGCAAACCCAGAGTGCATGCGTTTTTGTATGCTAAGTAAAGCGACACGATTTAATGTAATTTGTCTGGAAAATTGTGGCGAGTGTGTTTTCGTAATTTTAGATAAGTTTATGAGAAAACAGATCTCTTTATTTGCCGCATGTCCCGTTGTTGAGCAATGAATGATTGAGCAATTATGGCTGAGATATAGGGGGAACTGGGATGATGCATTTTCGTCACAAGTCGTGGGCAGTGACGTTACTTATCTGTAAAATTACCTGCTTATCGTGTTTGGTACGTGATGAACGTGTGAATCGTTTTGTAAAGCTGCATGATGTTTTATACGAGATGCTCATGTGATACGAGAGGCTGTGTCCTTACGGCTTATCCACTAGTCTTATCTGGTTTCTTAACCTTAGTTTTCACCAAGCAGTTTCTATCATTGAATTTATGCATTGGGAATAAATGCACCGTAATGTTTCTGTTCATATATCTAGAATAAAATTTAGCTATGTTTTAGCAGGAACCCTGTTTTCTTGCGTTTTTAACCGTTCCATCTCTCATCGTTCTGCACTCTACAGGTCTGCTGTTCTGAGGAAATTATAAAAGTTTCCCAACTTCCGTCCGTACGGTGATTATATGAGCGGGAATTATTTTGTTCCGTTACCCCTCGGACAATCCATTTCCGTGGGTATTTCTCTCACGGGGATTAGGCTAGTCTGACCGTGCCTTTCAGCCTAACACGTGATTCAACAGAATGTCCGTCACACGATATCACTAATGATGGGGACAATAATAGCAATTAGAGTACAGGGGGTGTTATTATTTTAGACAGAAATAGGACAGACGGCAGGGCGTTTAGTGGCAGCGGCAGTCAGGGGAAGGTATAGACACTAAATGTCGTCTGTCGTCCAAACGGCCTACGGTTGGTGTCAGTGTCCGTGTCAGCTGTTTGGTGTCGTGCCCAGTGTCAGTACCACTGACGGTCGGTATCGGTGTCAGTTTTAGTGTCTTTTTTTTTTCTTCTTTGGATTTTGCTCCCGATAGGCCAAGGCCCTGGTCGGGGTAGGGGGAAGTTACTAGCTGGCAATTAGCAGATCTTCCGTTTTATTTTACCTACTTTAATGCTGGCTACGTTATTCGGGCCCAAGGCAATATCATATCATATATTTAGGAATACATCCATAAAATGGGTTTTCAGCGTTCCACGTCATGTAGCACAAGTAAAAGCATTTTCCTATCAATCCACATTTGCATCACCCTTTAAAAGGCATCTGCGATACACTTTTTAAAGACAGGAAGAGAAGACGCGTTTCTCGCACTCAGCGGTAGCCTATTCCACGCTCTCACCGCCCGATTGAAGAACGACCGACGGGCAAACTCTGTGCGGGCCCGCGGCACCTCCAGCTCGCCGTCACGTGTCGCTCTCGTTTCACGCACAGACACATCAGAGCGGTGGGTGATGCGTGAGCGGAGAAGCTCAGGGGCGCTCTCGACATGGTTCAGGTTGTACATGACGCACAGGTCACGCTCAGTTATCATGTCCTCGATCACCCGCCATCCAAGCTCTCGCAGTGTCCCGGAAATGTGTTCACGATAGCCAAGACCAGTGACAATGCGGGCGCCAAAATTCATGCATCTCTGAAGTCTGTGCTTTTGGGTCTTTGTGCAGCTTCCCCACACGCACATGCAGTACTGCAGATGAGGGAATACCAGTGCCTCGACCAACAGCTGCTTTGTCTCACGCGGCACACGACGCTGCATTCTGGCCAGCCCTATCAGAACGCAGTAACATCGGCGAGTGATCGCAGCCACATGCTGCTCCCACGTCAGGCACGAGTCGATGTTGACGCCTAGGACCCTCGCCGACTGCACAGGCACGTCAAGAGCAAAGCTTACGTTAGACCGGCTCATGTGACGTCCGGTGGAAGCAAGTTCAAGGGAAAGCCAGAAAGGGTGCCAGAGTGGCTATGCCGAAAAGGATTTTGAGTACGCCCATCGGAGTGGAAGTGAAGGGAGGTCCGAGCTGGTCTCGGAGTCGATCACAGCGCCCTCTGGGCTCAGGGTCACCTGAAGAGGGCGCTGTCGGCACTGAGAAGGCCGGAAAGGACACGATGGCTGCGGAACCTTACCTACTGAGACAGGTAAGGTCATGGGCCAGTCTGCTGGGGCAGGTGAGATTAAAGACCAGTCTTCTGCTGCAATTGAGGGGCGACTGACCAGTTTTCTGGGACAACTAAGGTCCCTGACCGCTGATCAGTTTCATGAGGCAGGTAAAGTCACAGATGTGGATGCGATAACCCGCTAATACGGACACTCGTTCTCGCTAGTTCTTCTGCTCGTCTGCATCACTGCAATCATTCAACGGCCCGTTCCGTCATTTCCACCCTCGGGATAGTCCTGTCCTTCTCCTCCAGGCCTCCACCCCCTGTTCCGGACTGGACGGGCATCTTTATCCCACATGCGGGTAGCTCCCCTAGGATCACGCCCGTGGCCGGGTGCGGTCAGCGGTGAGTGTCAGGGGGCTGGTTGGCCGTTCCTTGTGATGGGCTCAGCCCCGACGAGTCACCGTGATGCCCGCCCAGACCAATGCCTCTCCCTATTTCCTATCATCCTACCGGCTCTCAAATGGTCTCCCTAGACGGAAAGATCCTACCCCGCCCCTCGAAAAAAAGAACAACAAAAACTATTAACGACTATGAATATGCCACAAGTTTTCTGATGCGCCAGCGCTGCTAATCATAGTAGTCATATATTCAGGCGAAGTTGCTTGTCGGTGTATATGAATTTTTTATTTCACGGAATTTTCTATTATGTATTTGAATTAAAAAAGCACGTAGAGGCATGAGACCGATAGCAATAAACAAAACCGGAGGGGATATCCCTCTACTCCGTGAACTGGGAGAGGAAATCCCCTCCGTCCCATCCCCTGTGGCGCCACCCTTGCCTACCGATCTGTGACCGGTCCGAAATTATCAAGCTGATGATACATATGAGGCCTTATATGTGTACGGTCGAACTGACCAGCATCAATATCTTTTAGGTCTAGTTCTATTTACAATTTACATTAATGCATTGTGAATGACTATTACAAATAGTCACTCTTAAAGCATGCATGGGTGATTTTTTGGAGGGTACGTCCCCGGGTTCCTCGGCTGCCCCCCCCCCCCCGTCCCCCGCTTTCGACGTCCATGCTGGTCGGTCAGACATTTTACAGAATGTCTAGGTACCTATTCTAGGTATAGAATGCCCGATTCCACACCTTGTCTCTAACATACATGCAATAAACATGCATGGATTTCTTTAGCGTCCCCCTCCCCTCCCCTTCCCCTGAGCAGGGCGTCCGCAGCTGCGGCCAGGGTAGACGGCGGTGTTAGCCCGTCTATCTGACGTCCTTCCTCTGCTCTGCGGCCAGGGTAGACGGCGGTTCCAGCCCGCCTATCTGACGGTCTTCCAGGCCGGCCAGCTGCAGTTTAGGTCACCCTTCCTGTGGTTGACGTGGCGGTACAGACCAGCGCTATCAGTGGAGCCTGTTGGGTATCCCGTCGATGTCTCATGTTTTTCACCATATAAGGCGTCTTTTGAAGTAGAGAGAGCGAGAGAGAGAGAGACAGAGAGAGAGAGAGAGAGAGAGAGAGAGAGAGAGAGAGAGGAGAGAGAGAGAGAGAGAGAGAGAGAGAGAGAGAGAGAGAGAGAGAGAGAGAGAGAGAGAGAGAGAGAGAGAGAGAGAGAGAGAGAGATTGTGGGCGTAAGAAAGAAAGAGAGAAATAAAATGAATATCATCTTTAGATACAAATAAATCAATCATTGGAAAATTATAACTTAACACGCGCAGTGGAAGGGGGGGGCGGATTTCGCCCACCCCTCCTGTTTTTCGCCAATAACTCGCGCCGCAAACATGATATTAATGTGAAATTTTGGCTACCTGTCCAGAATTGAACTGCGAATCTTCTCGTGCAAGAAATATAAAAATCAGGTCACAACTTTTCTAGTAATAGCGCAGGGCCTCCTCTAAGGATTTTTCACTGGGTGGGCAAAATTTTCGCCACTTCCCCGCCCAAGGGCGGATCCAGCCACTTGTTTTGGGGTTCAACCAATTTCAAAACCTATTACCGGGGGGGGGGGTGCGGGGATTAGACGAAATAAGCTGTGCCATTATTGGAAATAAAATGATAGTTAACGTTTGTCGTATGTTTTATGGTTAGCGATGCTCGAGCGATTCGTTCCAGATTACATGTACAGCCCTCAGCAGACTGCGTGGTAGGTATTCTTTTTCCGACAAAACTGATTATAATTCAAAAGTCATGTTATCAGTCGGTCGAAGCTCACTGCAAATAGATGCGCCATGCTCCACTCCTTCGATAGGGCCTATCAATAAACAAAGCATACCTACGCCTTGTGTGGCAACAAAATGTTTAAGTTCGTTTTGGGGGCAAATATAAACTTTTGGGTTTTGTTGCCAAACTGGATGGAAAATGCATACGATGATAATGCCAATCTAAGCTGCGGAGTCTCGCGCATCTTTCTGTTACGATTTCCGAGTGCCTGATAGCATAGTATTCGCGTTATTCTCGGTTTTGTCGAAAAAAGGATACCTACCACGCAGTCTGCAGAGGGCTGTACTTGCAGCCCTCCGCAAAAACTGCGTGGTAGGTATTCTTATTTCGACAAAACCGATACCTAATATCTCAAAGGTTATGATAATCAGTCGGTCGGAACACATTGCATATAGATGCGCCATGCTCCACCCCTTCGATTAATTCAGTCACTGAACAATGTGTACTCTTACCGTAGCAAAAAAGCAAAAGTTTGTTTTGGGGGGAAATATAAACTTTTGTGTGTTGTTGTCAAACTAGATGGAAAATGTATACCAAAATAAGCCCAATCTAAGGTGCGGAGTCTCGCGCGTCTTGCTGTTACGTTTTCCGAATGACCGTTAGCGTATTCGCGTTATTCTCGGTTTTGTCGAAAAAAGATACCTACCACGCAGCTTGCAGAGGGTTGTACCTTTATTGTACGTGCCTTTTCACTTACGAGACAATTACTTGATAACTCCAATATCGGCAGGGGCGTGGCCAAGGGGAGGGGCCACGGGGGCAATGGCCCCCTCCCTTGAGCGCAGAAGGCGCCATGGGGGCCCCACAGGCCCCGGGATATTTTTTTCTAACACTGGATAAAACGTATTTTACTCGGAAGCAAATTTATATCAATTCAAGTTTCATTTCTGTGGCCCTGGTTACCCGAGGTGCCCCTGATTACCCAATGGGCCCCTGCACTCATCCGAGGACCCCCGGTTTCCTGGGGCCTCTGGTCGCCCAGGGGGCCCCTGGTCGCTTGGGGGGAGCTAGTCGCCTGGGGGCCCCTGGTCACCTGGGGTTCTGGTCGCCTGGGCCCCTGCCCCCTGGTCGTCTGAAAGAACGTTTGTCACCTGCAGTGGCATAGCCAAGGAGGGGGCCAAAGGGACCATGGCCCCTCCTGGAAGCCAGGGGTCCTTATTCCATAGAGGCCCCTGACTGACACAGTGGGCCCTTGGCGAAGCAAAGGCCCTGCGGCAGATCCTTTGACACAGCTGAGTAGTTATTCTTTGGCCAAGAGAGACCCAATTTCAGAGCCTTGGGGCCCTATTGAAACCAGGGGGCCAGTTGGATGGGATGGGTCCAACTTGGGTCCAACGGT